AATAGATTGGGATGAAAACTTACGTAAGATTGTTAGTGATTATAACAATAGTAGACATACTGTTAGAGGAAGAACGCCTAAGTTGGAAGCCTGGACTTCCCATTGATGCTTTAAGTCGGGACCAGATTCAGAGGTTACCCCCAGAAACTTGTGAATTTGCAGTTTTGTATGAAAAAAATATTAAAAAGGTAAAAGAAAATATACAGAAAGCCCAACTTTAGATGATTGATCAGGCCAACAAACATCGTCGACCATCACCGTTTCAAGAAGGAGATCTGGTATGGGTGAAGTCCAAAAAATTTGCCTTGGAAGAAAACGTGTCTCAAAAACTGCTGCCTGTCTACTATGGTCCTTGGGAAGTTCTCAAGGTGATTGGGGATGTAGATGGACCTTCCTATCGAATAGATGTACCCCCACACCTAAAGACTTATCCTGTCTTTCATGCGTCTAAATTGCTATCGTATATTGAAGGAGATAATTTTCCTAACATGCCATCTATGTTTCGACCCTCCATGAATGGAGGATATGAAGTTGAGAAGATTTTGGAACATGGCTATTTTTCTACAGGTGGCAGAGAAAGACCACATAAGCAGTATAAGGTACAAGTCAAGTCTCAACCGCAGTCTGAAGCCAAATGGTTCAGTAAGAAAGAATTCTTACCTACTGCTCCTAACATTGTTGCTGCATACGAATGTGGGTTAAAAGGAAATTGATGTCTTTTCTACGATGGAACTCGAAAATTGGGCCGGCAGGAATGCAATAACCCATGCAGTATGCCTCGTGGAATGTCTGAGGGCCTTGCCAGGCCGCACTCAGACCCAGGCCAAAGGGGAAAAAGAACCCCACGTAGAGATTCAGGGCCTGAACGAGTGGAACATTGTTGCTGCATATAAACGTGGGTTAAAAGGAAATTGATGTCTTTTCTGCGATGGAACTCGAAAATTGGGCCGGCAGGAATGCAATAACCCATGCAGTATGCCTCGTGGAATGTTTGAGGGCCTTGCCAGGCCGCACTCAGACCCAGGCCGAAGGGGGAAAAGAACCCCACGTAGAGATTCAGGGCCTGAAGGAGTGACAATTGACTAAGTCAACTGTCAGATACCCAACAGTCAAAGTCAAAGTGTACCCAGCCCAGGCCGCTGGTCAGACACACACACTTGTTTGTATGCAGGTACCCAGGCAGCATCAGGACCAAGGGGAAGACTGCAACTATACACAATCCAGGCCCTCGGCTGTGAGTCAATCTGTATGACTGTGGGAAGGAGACCTGAGGCCAGACAGCCTCATCACAGACTACATAAGGCTTAGTCTCCAGGTGGTCAACATTCAATCTTGCTACGCTGCCACAACGCTGGCTTGACTCTTGCTGGGCACTGGCTTGACGTTGGCTTGACGTTGGCTTGACGCTAGAACTGTGGACAACGACGCGGGACTGTGGTAGCATGCTGGCGCTTTCTGTTCTGCGCACCAGGCATTGCTGACGTGGCGCTGCCACTTGTCTTCATTGCTGATGTGGCACATGCCACTTGTCTATATTGCTGATGTGGTGCATGCCACTTGTCTACATTGCTGATGTGGTGCTGCCACCTGTCTACATTGCATTGCTGATGTGGCGCTGCCACCTGTCTACATTGTTGATGTGGCGCATTCCACCTGTCTCTACATAACTTTGAATAATCCCTCAGGCCAGTGAAAGAAGAAAAGGTGGAAAGAAAGGGAACACACATAGTAAGGAAAAAAAACTGCTTTATCAACCACAAGCAAATCATTAACGAGTTGAAATCCATAGAGTGAAAAGTATCGAAGAAAACTTGTCAAACAAGATAATAACTCACTGACAGTCTCTCCTTGAGAGAGGGAGCTTCGAGAGTGAGCACTAAACCAATCCCTCTTCTCTTAACACTGACCTCGACGAATGGCAATCTCGTGCAAACGAACCTGGTCCTGTGTAATACCTCATAAGGATAGAACGGACAGAATCGGCCCCAGAGGCTTGTCCTTCATAACAGAGTACTCAGTGATCACTAGTTTTTATATCAGCACGGAGTTCATCGAATTCCATGACTTACTCGTGAAGACCATGGCCTTTGTAACTCCAAACAGATCAAAGAAAGTTTGTACTGTACTGTGTAAATCTCCACAGTCTCTTTTCTTAGAGTAATCTCAACAGTACTGACCATTCCCACCTAGTTCAGACCTCAATCACTGTGTTCCCTCGATCGATCTGACGACCTCACCTTCGGACTCTTCTCTTGATAACAGCGAGAAGAAAACCCCCAGCGTTACTCTCACGAAGCAAGTTCGCTCACCTCTCCCTCTCCATAGAATACCAGTTTTCTTTTCACATGGTGAGGTGTTCCACAGGAGATGACATGATTGCCAAGGAGGAGCATATTTCGCATAGACCAGACCTTACGTGCACTGGTGATAAAATTGAGCGACTGGAACGTACCAGCCTGTACGGGGTTTTAAGTTGGCAGCCATATCTGCTGTTCCTCCTCACGAGGAACTTCATCTTCTTCGAAGTGGATCGGATGTCTCCTTCTTCATCAGGACTTCCAGCGCTGCACTTCCTTGCGGGCTCTGAGATGGCCCTGCTAGTGTTGGGGTTGCTGGTTCAGATTGGCGCGTTGTGACAGCTGTGGGGTTACTGCTGCTATGGCAGCCATAGGGGTATGAGGTGGCGAGGAGGAAGAAGAAGACTCCTGCATACTTCGTTGAACACTTGTTTCTGGTTGTTCGGGGTTGTTGTAAATGCGGTTGTGATTCTTGGAACAAGGACTCTGGATTGATTGGAGGAGGACGGGGGATTGCAGAAATGGAATTCGTTTTTCAATTCTCTGTCTATTTTACGATTTTGAGCTTCCGCTGTGCATCTCTTCTCTCCGTTTTTTTTTGCCTCCTTTGAGTCTACTCTGCAATTGCATGCGTAAATGGGAATGTGTGAATTCGTTGTGGATTGAAGTTCAATCGGGTACATAACACACCATTCTATTAGCCAATGCTTTAGAAAGCATTTTATGTACAACAGTCAGCATTGTGATCGGCTTATAGTTCCGAATATTCATTCTGTCCCCTTTTTTGTGGAGAAGCGTTAGCACTCCTTGCCCTACCATCTCCCCGATCTCGCCCTCCTCTCACACCCTACGATAACAGCTCATCAGGTCATCCTGCATCGGATTCCAAAAAGCCTCCCAGAATTCCTCAGGGATCCCATCCACCCCAGGTGTCTTCTCTTCCTCCATCTGTAGCAGGGCTGACCATATTTCATTTCTCAAGATTGGCCGGTCCAGCACCTCTCTCAGTTAGGGGTGCAGGGCTTTGGTGAGCGGAGCAAGGATGACACGAGTAAATCGACACATGGTCCCAAAAGAGGGCGACCTCCAACAGATTCGAGATGTATCTTTGACGCATTGATTTTTTTTTTGGTTGCACTTCGCCTTCGCTGGGCCCAACCCCGTCCTGCGCCCTTTCCCAACACAGGTTGGAGTCTTGCATGGGACCATCACGTGAGACCCGCTCTTTCCTTTAAGAGCTGGATAACTGTGAGCCCCTCAGGACATCTGTCAAAATTCGAACGATACAGCAAAGATTAGGATGGCCCATGCACAAGGATGACATCATGTCATGTCATGTCATGATGCACAGAAATTGAGAATGGTGCATTTTCAAAGCTGGTTGATACTGCCAGTAGTCATATGCTTGTCTCAAAGTCTAAGATAAGCCATGCACATCTAAGTAAAAAAGTCACTCGCCTCTGCTGATCTTCTAAGACTATGGTGCTCTGATGTGGGAAGTTGCCCTCATTCGAAGACGATGGGTGTGATGAATTGCAGTGATGAAACTTTGGCTTTTGTGAATGGGAGGCCTTATAGGAAAGCCATAATTTGGGAGCCGTGGCGGTTTGTTTTTTTTTCGTTGAAAAGAGGCTCGGAGGTAGTGGTGGTGTCAATATAACCCACTAGACTACAGGGCACAGAGTTGCAGATAACTCCCTATTGGGCCCTTGGATAATTACACATATCACCTGTCCAAAATGGGCGGGCCTACTTTTCCCCGTAAGCCTCTGTACTGCCAACTTTCAGTCCTGTCCCTGTATTTACACAAATAGTGTCAAATGCAGACATGGTGTTCCCAAGACACAAAAAAATGGGCGGGCCTACTTTTCCCCATAAGCCTCTGTATTTATCCAGCGGCCTAGCTCAGTTGGTAAGGCACGCAAGTGGCATTCAGGAGGTCTTGGGTTCAATCCCCATTGGCCTCATGTGCCTTCCTGGGCAAGCTTGGCGCCCGCCACCTAGAGATATGCCGTTGGTCGCCCCGAGTGGCATTGAGCAGAGACTGCTGATGTTCATAGGGGGAGGGGACCGGAGGGGAGGCACAGTGACTGGCCCATCGAAGAAGCTCGGTCCTGATGCTACCGGCTGACCCCTGGCCGGTATCGCCCACCTGCTGTAGCAGGTATTGCACCTGCTGGTGGGTGCAGCTCCCGCATGTTCCCTCGTTGGAGGCTTGAGCACGGATGTGGCTGCTACGGGGTTCCCTGTAATACTAAAATGACAATACAATAGGCCTGAAAGGCCTTCCTGTCCAGATTTGACAGGTAATTGAATTGGTTGGGCTTAAAGAATTAGCCTTATAAAAAAAAATAAAAAAAATCCTGCTGAAGCCTCAAACAAGCGCTCGGCGGACAACATCTAATTGCCACATTGAAAGGCAAATTGACATGTATTAGTCCTGCTTAAATGCTCATCCAGATCTGCAAGCATGACGGTACGTTGTTCCTGCTCTGGAAATCCGTGTGACTCGTGTTCTCTTTATTTCTTCAAAGGGCGAGGGCCATGAGATGTCATCAATGAATTGATTGGCGCTGGGTAATTCAGAATTGTTTTATGCTGTTCATCTAAATTTGGAAAAGCATCTGGATTCGAACCTCAATCTGTATTTCAACTGAGCTAGGCCCGACTCTGTTCTTCTCTGTGTGCTCAAACAAATGCCAGGGTGTACTTGCAGCTCAAAGGGCCGTAATGAATGCCATGAAGCCTGGGGTTAGCTGGGTGCACATGCACAGGTACGTGTTGTTTTTTCTTTTTTTCTTGGAGTTCTCCTCCTAAGAAATGATGACGTAACAAGAAAAAGAAAAGACAAAAGAAAGACCGTGTCATACCATATTTTACACAATCTCCTACTCGTCACAAACGCACATGCTTCCACAGGAAGTGGTCGCAGATGCCTTAGCACTGCTTCACACAGTGACACACACACACGGTGAAAATTCAAAACACACACACGGTTGATTCTGTGAAACACACGCGCACTTTTCGGTGAGTGGCATTCATCTCTGTGTTTCCTGTGTATGCAGTTGCCCTTTCATCAAGTTTCATGTGCATTAAAAAGCGAACTCCACGAACATTCACTATCTGCCATGTCATGCTCGAATCCCAAACACATCGGCTGGCATTTCGTACTTGTATGTTTTTGTTTTTGTTTTGTCCCTGTGTGCACTTGCATGTTCGGCGGGCAAGTGACGAAGTAAACTCAGCTGTCTAAGACATTCACAATCAAGCACATCCTACAATATCAGGAGAGTCGTCCGGACTGCAGAAACAGAAATGAAAAAAAAGAGAAAGAAACAATTTCCTGCTGCAGTATCTGAGACTTTGAGATCATGTAACCCGTGCCAAGTGTAGTTGGCCGAACGCAAACACACAGAATATAGTAGCAGTAGGATTATTGCAAGGAAAATGAGCGATAGCGAAATGACAGAAATCCAGAATGCAAAATCACATTGAAAGCCAGCAAGTCCAACGCTGTCCAGAAAGCAGAAATGCACTGATATTCCACCAACGGAGAACCAAAGCACCGAATCCGAATGTCAATGAGAACATACTCTCGCCACCACCAACATATGTATCCAGAGCCCTTCCTCCTACTTGGCGCTCAGTGCCCAGACCACGATCACACAGCTACTTGCAGCCTACGAACTGACAATGCATCCTGTTGACGTCAGCAGGCACAACCGAAGCACATGAAGATGTCGACCTTGTAGACGATTGCCAAGACCAGGTACGTGCCCTCACATCATCAACCTCATCTCTCTCTCTCTCTCTCTCTCCCCCTCGTCTTTACTACCCACGTCTTCCTCCCCATACACGAAGACCACTACCACCTCCACTGGTTATGTCCAAGCCAAGCCCGGCTAGAAGGGCTGGCTATGGCGCTGCCCTCAGCTGCGCCCTTCCTTTTGCACGACCGCACACGCGCGCACACTTGCCTCTAGCGCTAACGCAGCAGCCTGCGAGCACTAGCTCCAGCAGCGATGCGGCATCTGCACGCAAGTGCCCGACCCCGCTCACCGGAGCCCGCCCCTTTTCTATATCGAAAGTGGCGGGCGTATTGCCACCCACTTGCCTCGTCGGGCTGAGTTTCCAGTAGCTTCAGTCTCGGCCAAAGTGTCTGCGCCGCAGGCCCGTTCAGACAGTGGCCTGGGACCGAATTGGTTAGGCATGCTCAACCGCCCAGGCACTAACGTGCTGTGCTCCCTGTTTCGTCCACGTTGCTGGAAGAGCCTGGAAGGCTCACGCATATTCCAGATTCTCACGAGCAAAGCGGATGTAACCAACTGGCGCGTGGCAACTGTCTGGCCCACCAAGATTTGCAAGAATTGACGAATTCAGGGCACATTGAGATTCAGGGGGGGCGCCTTCACTTAGGGCGGGCACGCGCCTGCTGTAGGGCCTTATGCCGAGGGGTAAACCCTCACATTATTATCTCTACTCTCTGTATAACGTTTATTAATGTTATAGTATTTAGGGGCTCGTTCGACGCTCCTCGGCGCGTAAAGTCCCCGAGGAATTGTTCGTTCCACCTATCCTCGGGGATGCAGTTGGAAAAAAAGAAGTGAAAACACTCAGAAGGAAATTCCTTGGGCTCCGAGGATTCCCCAGCCATTTCTTCCTTTTGCCCAAGGGACCTCACGAGGTCCCTTGGGCAAAAGGAATCCGCGTTTCACGGAGAGGAGCGGGCACATGGGTAGAGTGACGTTACAACCGAAAATCTGGATCGTGGCGGCACCCTATTGTCTGAAGGCCTCAATGCTCAAACACATCTGATTTTTTTTTTCTTTTCTTTTTTCTTGTCTGACATCGTTCGAAGGAAATGTCCTCGGGCGATGTCCCCGAGGACAGGTGGAACGATGGCGGGAATTTCCTTGAAAACCCCCAAGGAAACTTCCTTCGGCCCCGACGACGCCCCAAGGAGTGTCGAACGAGCCCCTTACCATGGTTGCCCCGGACACGGACATCCGGACAACCAGACACAGTTACCGGACCCGTGTCTGGATTAAACCGGACGTCCGGTTAGGTTAACCGGACATCTTACCGGACATCCGGACAACCGGACCCTGACAGTCTGGTTGTCCGGTTACACGAACACAGACACACACAGGTTTGTGGGACTGGTCGAACATGCTAATAAAATTGGACTACGAACTTCAAATTTTGGACCTTCGAATCTTGAACCGGCACACATGACACAAACACACACACACAGAGCAAAGTTCCACACCCACTCCAGCCCCCATGAGCTTTGAAGTTCCGAACTTCGAAGTTTGGAACTTCCAATCTTGAACCGGCAAGGCGTTAACCTCCTCGTCGTCGGCAATCTCCTGGACTCCTGGGCGATGGAGGAGCTCGAGCTGGCGATGGCGTGGCTGCAGCAGGTGGGAACTTCAAGGAAAGCACTGCTACACCAGAGGGAGCGCTGCTGCTTGAGGCGCTTTGTTGGAAAATAGGGTCCTCCCGCCGACGGGAGACCCTCACCAACAGTGGGCCCTTCAGGGCCGGTCCGGTTGGGGTGACGGTTGACAAAAAACTACAGCAACAATTTTCTGGGGTACCCCAGGCCCAGGAAAATGACCTGGGGACCCCATTTTTTTTTGTGAATTTCTTGAAATGAGGGTCCGGTTAGACCCTCCAAACCCAATACCGGACCCGGATGCTGGACACCGGACTGTCTGGATCGGGATCCGGACGTCCGGTTGGCAACCATGGTATTTACCTTTCCGTGCACTGATCATAGCGCCCACAAAGAGTGCAGTGTCTATGCTGTCTGTGCTGTCTTTCCGATGTTTTTTTTTCAGTGGTGGAATTGTTTGAAAAGTTCAACGAAAATGCCATGGATGTTATACAGCAAAAGTTCGAAAAGTTCCTGAGGGGGCTCTTATTGCACCTGTCCGTGGCAAAGTATAGCTGTAGAAATTTACTAGAAAGTTAGAAACTTTGAGGAGGTTCTTTGTTACAGAGTGGCTGTGCCAAAACTGCGCCAAAAGAAAAGGCCATTGAATTTTGGATCCGATGGTGAGTGATTGTGCAGAGTCGAGTCTATACAGCAGGATTCCAACTGCAGGGACTGGTGGGGTCTTTTTTTGTGGGAGGATCCCTTTCATTTCATTTCATTTCATGCATCTAGGGTCCATCTGGATTCCAACTCAGGTTTGCATTTCAACAGCTAATGGGGGGGTACCAACTGTGGAGGGGCTAGTGGTAGATGCCGTCAAACCCGCTATGGACGAACTCATCGATGTGGCCGTACGTGGAGTTACTTCCAGGCTTTGCAAGAAGAAGCGACCAGCTTTGCAAGGTCCCTCGCACGTGCCGCCCACTGCGATAATGACATGGTCCAATATTCTAATGTCACTCACGTTAACGATTTTCTCGCCGCACTGCCAGAACGATTTGCAGACGTCGCTAGTGGAATAAGGGTGTTTGATAAGCTCCATATGATTCACACGCGGCAATGGCGGAGCGTACCTGCCCTCAAATCTGGTATGGACGAACTCATCGTTGTGCCCAGACATGGAGTAACTGAAGCACATCTCGTCCATCTCTTCTACCGAGCGCTGCCCGAAGATTTGCAAGGGCACTTCTTTGATAAGAAACAACAGCCTGGAATGACCTATGATCTCCTCAGTAGAGAGGCTGTTGTGTTTGCCACCCAAGCTATGCCAGTTACCACTTTTTGGCATAAGGACCTTGCCAAGAGCAAAAAGTGGAAAGGGCGCACCATCTCAGGCCAAGTCAAGGCCAAAGACAGTTTGATCCTTACAATGGAAGAAGGTGGTGCGGAAGAGATCCCCTAGACTGACATAAAGGGGGGGCTAAAGGAAGAGGACAGTAGTGCGGGAAAGGGGAGTACTTACGCCGCTGTCGCGGTCGGAGGGAGGCCGCAAGGAGGAGGACGAGGCCAGGGCAGGGGTGGCTAGGCCTCAGGTGGTCGAGGACGAGGCAGCCAGGAGGTTGACGACGATAGGGACCGCCAAGCAGGAGAAAGGGCTCAAGGTCCCTCGACTAATCGTCCAAGTCCCGATCGATCACCTCCTAGAAGGGGAGCATGGCACCCTGGACGGCCTGAAGGCAGGTCGTGGGAAACCCTTAACATTAATTAGAATGTCTGGCAGGACTGCATTGATAAATATTAGTTTGTTTTGTGGTGACCCCGGGCGCATCCTCAAGTTCTGCCCGAAGTATAGGGGGTTTCCCAATGCTACATTTGGGGCAGCAAAAGGCAATCGCCTGTATGGGTAACAACTGCCCCTACCCCAGGAGTACGTGGAGACGAGTGTGCGCGCAAAATAGAAACTCCCACTCCATGTGTCTCCATGGCAGAGGTTGCTGGCCAACACCTAGTTAGCTGCCCAGAGAATGCTTGTGTTAGAGTCTCTCTAGGGCGTTTCCCTCACAGGCTTGGCTGAAGAATTGAAGGAGAGCAGGCAAGCCTGGGCCAAAATGAAGAAGGATGGAAAAGGGCAGCTCATCTTAGCAGACGTAGAGATCTTTAGAGCTAGAGTAGGGGCCCTTAGAGACAGTGGGGCCACTAGAAGCTACATTAGTCCGAGAGCGTTGAAGAAGTTGAGGCTAGGCCTCAAAGTCCAAAAACTAAAGGAACCTGTAGTCAGTATCCTCGCAGACAACTGCACCTGCGGATTGAGGAGTACGTAGAGGGAATCCATTCGCCTAGAGCAAGAGGGGAAGGTAGAGAAAGTCCTTCACTCCCTGACTCTCCTCATAGAAGAGAACCTCCCATTCGATACAGTTCTTGGAACAAATTGGGGAGAGGCAGTCGGGGCCACATTGCACCTTAGAGAGCATGAGTGCAGGCTCCCATGTCCGTCAGGTGGAGTCAAGAAAGCCCACCTGTTTCATGCGTCAGGAGTCGACAATTCTCTGGCGCATTGCTGCCTCAACGCTCCTGCGTTTGCTAGACTCGGAACAGGTGTTCGTAGCTTCTGTCAAGCCAGTGTCTGAGCAGCCAAAGGAGGAAAAAGAGATTCATCCCACTATCGCCAGTTTGCTGAATGAGTACACGGATCTATCAAAGACACCCTCATGGGTAGTGCCAAGACCCATTCAACATCGTATAGAGATAAAACCTGGCAGTCGGACGCGTAAGGGAGCAGTCTACGGGACGTCTCCCAAGGAATTGGAGGAGTTGCGTAAACAGTTAGACGAGCTCTTCAAAAAGGGATGGATTAGACCGAGCTCATCTCCTTTTGGTGCACCTGTCCTATTTGTCCCCAAGAAAGAGGGAGAGTTAAAAATGTGTGTAGACTACAGGAGTTTGAACGCCATAATAGTCAAGAATGCAAAACCATTGTCACTTATAAATGACCTGTTGGATTGGGTGCAAGGTTGCAAGTACTTCACAAAGATAGACTGAAGTCAGGGTACCATCAGATAGAGGTACATCCTGATGATCAGCACAAGGCGGTGTTTCGGACTGGATACGGGCATTATGAGTTCATAGTGATGCCCTGTGGACTACCCAATTTTCAATAAGACCCTCTAAGAACATGAGGGTCATTTGAGGCAAATCTTGGAGAAGCCGCAAGAGGCTAACTTCAAGATCAACGCGAAGAAGTGTGAGTGGGCCAAGATAAAAGTCCTTTACTTGGGCCACATATTAAATGGAGACGACATTAGACCGGAAGACGGTTAGATCGTAGCGAGTAGAGACTGGCCAACGCCTCGCACTCTGACTGAGTTGCGATCGTTCTTAGGACTGACCAACTATTATAGGAAGTTTATGAGGAACTTCTCCACCATCGTTGTTCCCCTTCGCAGACTCCTAAAGGAGGAGGCAGTATGGAAGTGGGATCAATATTGCACCTCGGCCTTAAAGAAGTTGAAGAAGGCCTTGGTAGAGTATCCTGTCCTCAAAGTTGTCGATCCTTCATTGCCAATTGTCGCCACGACATATGCAAGCCAATATGGTATAGGTGTTGTACTACAAAAAGACGACGACAATAGCTATCGACCCGTAGAGTTCATGTCAGCTAGGGGACCACCTGAAAAAGTAGCAGCCTCGACGTATGAGAGAGAACTCTACGCTCTCAGCCAGGCCTTAGACCATTGGAGGCATTACCTGCTTGGGAGGGACTTCAAAGTCTACTCGGATCACGAGACTCTGAGATGGCTAAAGACGCAAGCCAAGATGACGCTCAAGTTGACGAGGTGGGCAGTTGAAATAAACCAATTTGACTTCAATGTTAAGCCTGTTAAGGGTACGTACAACGTGGTCGCCAATGCTCTAAGTAGAAGAGCAGATTACTTTGGAGCGAATGTACATTATCTGGACATAGGGATGGACCTGCAGCTAAAGATAAAAGATGCATATGCTCAGAATCTGATCTCTGGCGATTCACTAAAGAGAGTGAAGGAAGATCCAGATAGTGAGGCAAATTATCGCACCACAAACAGGCTCCTCTTTGAAAAGACCAACGTCGTTGATAGACGTTCCATCCCCTATAGAGAAGTTTTTCGACTTCTTGGTAAGTGAGCATGGCATACCGCTGTCCATAGTTAGTGATCGAGACGCGGTTTACCAGCCAGAACTGGCAAGATCTTATGAAAGTTTACAGCTCTAAGTAGTTAATGTCGTCATGTCGTCATCCAGAGACAAATGGCTAGACTTAGCAGATGAATAAGATCTTGCAGCAATTACTCAGAACGTATATTAGACCAGACCGAGTAAACTGGGATGAGATGCTTCCCAAGGTAGCTAGCGCTTATAACAATAGTGTACATCTAGCTACCTGTTGAACCCCTAACGAGCTGCATAAATCCGTTAGACCATGTAGGCCGTTTGAGGGACTAAATCGCGGCCAGATTCGAAGATTACCTCCCGGTACCAAAGAGTTTGCCTTGCAGCACGAAAAGGAAGTTGCTAAGGTGGTCGAAAACCTTAGAAAGGCCCAGCATCGCATGATCGGATAGGCGAACAAGTGTCGCAGACCCTCACAGTTTAGGGTAGGCGACCTAGTTTGGGTCAAGTCAAAGGAATTCGCACCAGAGGAAAACATCTCGAGAAGCTCTTGCCAGAGTACAGAGGACCATGGCCTGTCCTAGAAGTCAAAGGTGGAGAGGACAGACCATCCTACACCTCCATACGTATCCAGTCTTTCATGCGTCAAAGTTGTTGCCTTGTGTCACCAGTCAACAATTTCCATCAGTCAACAGTTTCCATCAGTCAACAGTTTCCATCATGGAGATCTATGATTCCGCCCGATATGGATGGCACATACGACATAGATCGCATAGTGGAAGAAGACGTCCTTAGGACTGGAGGTCGCAGTCTCCCCAAAAGCAATACAAAGTTAGGTTTGCTTACCAGGAACGTGAGGACGACAGATGGTTCACCAGAACCGAACTTCTAGAGACCGCTCCCGGCATAGTCATGCCTATGGAAGAATGAGGGGTAAAGGTCCTGTCTTGGATTAGAGATGCAGGAATGAAACGGTTTCACCCAGTCGTGCGATAGTGCAGATTCCAGGGCTTGATCCCTGGACCTACCCCCAACCCTCTGTACAGTTACCCGTTGAGCCTGCGAATGTTTGAACCCAAAACCTGCCCCTCAACTCATGTACAAATGTTGTCCATATGTAGTCTGGGTTGTGTGGACTTGAGCCGACGACCTGCAGGTTAATAGTCTTAGGGTCAGTCCTCAAGATTAGTGCTAAGTGTAGCGAAGGGTCAGTCTAGAAGTTACTACGTGGCTCATCGGAACTGTAGGGGTCAGTCAGTCATAGCCTAGGAGGTTCTAGACTCGTCGACTTGACCTTTTGAGGCCGTAGGAGTCGGTGTCCGTAGCTGAGTCAGCAAGGGGCAGTCTAGTCCTAGTCCAGTCAGCAGTCTCAGTCCCAGTCCACCTTGTCCAGTCAGCAAGTACCAGGTGGGGCCGCACAGCACTTGGGCCTGGGACCGAAGGCAGTAGAGACCACCGGCGAAACATTATAAATAAAGAGGCAGCGCCCAGCCGTTCATTCATTCGCCTGCGAGCCATGCGGAAGGCTGCTTGTGCGACTTGTGCATTCGGAGGTCTGCAGGTGCCTGACGACGAAGATGGCAGAGGAGGATGACAGCAGCCATAGCCGCCAGCACCTAGAGGAGGAAGACGACGGCGGCCAAGCCGCCAGCTTGTTGACGACAACCATAGTGTGTGTGTGTGTGTGGGTGTGGACATTCAGGGTAAGAGTGAGTGTGTGTGTGCCTGATGGTAGATACAGTGTTCGGGCGGGAATACAGATCCTTGCAAGTCGTCGTAGCCACAAGCTGTGACAAGTTGACTTATACCGAGTTTCAGGCCGAAAGACATCTGTGTGGACGCTGTGCGCCATCTCATCCTGGTTGCTGATTCTACATTGAGGAAGTTGTTTGACCATCGGCACCTGTGTGTATGCATGCTGAAAGTGAAGTCAAAGATAAGTCTGATTGAAGCTTGCTTATGATGATCTGTGGGTTCGAAACAGATTGGCAGAGAGGACCATACTGAAGGCACTGAAGGACGGAGGAGTTCTCCAGGGGTACGAGAAACTCTCAGTCTGCCTATCCATCCTTCGTATTCTGCTATTTTTTTCCACGTCTATCTGTGGATTTGTTTTTTTTGTTTTCTTTGGTTCTGGTGTTACATATAATGTGCTCTCTCTCTCTCTCTCTCTCTCTCTCTCTCTCTCTCTCTCTCTCTCTCTCTCT